TGCTTGGAAACCATAACTTGACACCCAGGATATAAAATTGCCAAATATAAGAACACATATTTGAGGGGGACATTTTCAGCTGACAATCACTACAATGACAACACTGACAATGTGAGAGCAAGAAACACCAAAACAGTGCAAAAAAAGGGAGTCGATAAAACCAAACTCACATAATCGCAGGTTTTATTACAGGAGACCTTGAAATTGTCAGTGCTAAAAGAGCCACTTGAATAGGACTTGCCAACCCACCGCTGCTCTTGGATCTGCACCTCAATAGGAAGCACCACTCCAGAATGAGAGACCCAGCGTCTGAATTTTGGCACATGTATCTCTAGGCTAATTTTGCACGGGATGATAACGTTGTTTCTCCAATTTACGTCTTGGGCTAATTTCAACCTCTAAGTAATTTAAAAATTGTTGAATCCGTAACATGTCAAGTTTGAACTTCTTGACAATTCATAGAAACTGAACTGCTTCTGAATAAATAAAATCAATGTACAAGCACACAGAAAAAGTAACACACACACACCAACATACACATTTATGTGTATTGGCATAAGACTGACATATCAAAAATCCTCTACCGACCATAAAGCTGCCACCTAACTCAATACCACAACTGTAAGAATATTCACAAATGAGCAAACTCAGGGTAATTTATTTCCATGTTAAGCAAACAATTCCCCAAATTTCTAAATACAGCAGATGTAACTATCCATGGGAGGCAAGTAGATTTTTGATAGAGGAAAAAAAACACTTTTTTTTTTTTTAAAAAGGTTCAACCATAAATATTTAAACAGGTTTTGAAAATGAACAGAAAATAATCCTTGGTTTGAACAAATGAAACCACCTGTTTATCCTTGGATATTACACATTTTAATCAATTACCAGAAAGATAAGAAATCAAAACCAAAAATCACTCTACAACTGAAAAATATAAGCCCTTAATTTGAGAATGTCTAAACTGAATATTTCAATTCTTTAGGCATTTCTGAGGATTAAACAGATGGATAACAACATTCTCATTTTTAGCTAAGCATTTGTGTGTCACCAAGTCAATCTTTTGACTAAAAAGAAAAACTACCAGAAGTGTCAGTAAGGGTGATCCAGTGCATTTTACTAAGTGATACTCACACAAAAATAACCTGATCAGTTTTCTGAAAGTTATGGCTGGGAAAACCAGAAGTTTAAATCACAACTAGTTCTGTCCAAGGGGCTCCACGGAGATTCCCTGTTTCTGCAGCACCTTTCTGGCATTAGAAGATACAGACCTACCAAAATTTTTTTTAAGACTGCTGAGCGGTCAAGGCTTCGGGTTGTATAAATTCTGGTTTTTGCAGACCTGGAATCCTTTCTGCCTTCCTACCCAAGTGCTCAGAGTGACAAAGCAGCAGCACATACCGACAGGATCCATCTCAAGGGGCTGCCTGCTGCACCGGGGAAGTCTTGTAGCTGAGAGATAGATACCGGGGTGGCTTTACGTACTGCTAGTGCTACAAATGAATGTATTTTCTTCCAGTTTAACGTGTGAGAAAAAATTAATTAAAAACCACTTTAGATATTGAAGCCTGGCTGATATCTTAGTTTTGACAAGTGAACCTGAAATAGTCAAATCTTCCATCTTGAGGAAGCTGTTGATTAATTTGAGAAGATAATGCACACACACTTCTCTTCCAAGTGATTTTTGCCATATTCCTCAGTTGCTTTTCTTTATTACATCTTAAAGATAAACATTGTGTGCATTTGTGTCAACCAACATGACTCAGAAAGTTATTTTCCTTTGATACATTAATTGGCTATCATGAAAAATGGAGCAGAAAATATTATTCATAGAAGTGTTACTCTAGTGTGCATTGCAACTCGAAGCGCTTCACAGCCACTGCCTGCTCGCCAGCATCCCTGTCAGGGAGCCGTGTGCCACTTGTGCCATCCTGCAGGCTGGCAGAAGGAGGAATAGAAGAAAAAGACCAAAACTCCCACAGGGTTTCAGTAATGTGGACTGTTTCAGTGACCACTTCACCCAGCACCTTCCAGGCGGCGGTTCTACCCGCAGCTCTCACTAGACAAACTTGCTACCTCCAAAGCTGTGCCTGTAGATAAGCAAACCCTTTGGGTTAACGTGGTCCCAGTCAGCTAACAAAACACCCCAAGACTAAAACTTCAAGACTATCTTGTTGCTCACACTGAGTACTGGTCATTATACTGTTGGTTCTGCACAGCAAAAAGATGCAAGTGACCTCAGGCATTTTATCTAATTATTTACGTACAAGGGGCAGTATCATGACTGCAAATTATGCAGCATAGATTAAATTGACCACATTGTGTCATGGAAGAAAATTACAAGTAAAATTTCCAAAAGGTGGCTAAAAACAGTCTCCTAATTCCTTACTAGACATCTGACTTTCAAAGCTGCTGAGTATGCAGTTTTCCAAGACAGACATCAGCCATTTAGAACTTCTTTCTACCTGTCTCTATGAAAAGATGCCCTATATGATGAGCATGAAAAAAACACAGATAATGAAACAGAAGAACAATCTCCCTTACTAAATTCAACTGTAAAGTCTTTGCTCAAACAATCATTTTTAATGTTGGAAAACAAGGGTTTGTAATGAGGCCATGTGCTGCATCACACAACATCTCCATCACAGAGTATCATTCACACCAGCTACAACTGATAGTGGAAGATGTTGGTTCCTTTTTAGTTCAAGAAAGGCCTGACTGTTAGGTACTACCCTAACCCTAATGTGTTTTTGTATTGTATTTTTGCTCCCGGGACACATAAGGCAGCAGCTACATGACGCTGGAAGAGATGGACCAGAAGGGAGACAAACGCCACCGAGTAGTTCAAAGAAAGCAATGTTTACAGGAAGCATCTGGATCACGACACCGATGTGCTTCCAGCAGTGATAAGCTCCTACCAGGAAGCTCCTACTGCTTCTGAAAAGCAGCTAAATAATCTACAAAATGACTGAACAAGGGGGAGCTTCCAGGATACAAAGCCAGGAGGCCACTGACTGCCCCCTGCCACCAACCGGGACAAACACATCCTGTCTATAACGGGAGAGCCGGACATGTTGGGTTGGGAGACACCCCTACACCTAACCCTCATTTGTCCTCCAGTGCCAGAGGCCCTGGACTCGGGCACCTTTGAAATGGATTTGCCTTCGAGAGCGTCCCCGACAAAGCCCTCAGTGCAGAGGAACTGCCCTAGACACAAGTGCACCTAAAACACCTTACTGACTACAGGGTCCTCTGGAGAAGGCTTCTAGTCTCCAAGGACAGCTATCAATTTCCTGAAACCACCACTAGTTTCTCTGCTCCCTATTAAGGGCTTTTGAAAGGAAAAAATACAACACACACACACACAAAAAAAAAAACACATCACCACATTCTGAAATGTATTTAACCATCATCTCAGATAAAACCTACCTCAATTAGAGATAGCCAGGTAATCTAGGAGGAAAAAAAAAAAAAAAAACAATTTTAGCTGTGATGGTTCTAATGCTGGCCTAAGAAAACCACTGCTAAGTGATAATGGTAGTGCCATTCGCGGGAAGCCTTTGGAGAAAGAAATCAGTGCATTTCATTGGCTCTTAATTGTTTTTTAATGGACTTCACTACCCAATAGTTTCCAAAATACAAGGCCTTATTAATGAATTGCTACAGCTTTCTTAATGCTCCTTCTGGCCACTCATCGAAAAACTAAGCACATTTTTAAATTGAATCCCGTGAGTAAAAACGGGAAGGGGCTGCAGGACTTCACTGTGGAAAGATCAAGCTGGACTAAGTTCTCCACACAGTACAAATTCACTTGCTTACCAATACTTTTACTTATAATTAAAGCTGTTTCCTTGCTAAAGTGCTTAGCAAGGTACAATAACTCAACTATCCAAGAATTACCTTATATTTTAAAATCACTTCTTTCATTAGGCTGTTTTTGTTGTAGGGATTTTTTTTTTTAAGGAATTCCCTTATGTGTTGTAAAAGAAACTCATTTAAGCCAAGAATCCTTTTTATTCCAAGGAGCTAATTACCTGGAGGGGGGAGGATAGAGTGAAAGGGGGACTGAAAATAAGTTTAAAAAGCTTCCAATTGCATCTGTTCCACAGTTTAAAATATCCATACATACTACAAAAATTTATATGCTAAGTGTGAAATATAGTCTCTGACATGCTTCCTACTCATTAAAGCAGTTTCTAATACCACACAGAGACACCCAGTGCCTTCTTTACGAGTGTACCAACCAGACATTCAGTGCCAGCGCCTTCTCGAGCAGCAAATTAAGTCATAAATAGACATTTTATTTCAAGAATGGTAATCTGAGCAGCTGCCATCTTGCATTTCCCTGAAATGTGAAAGCAGCAGCAATGCTTGATTTACACATGTAGCACAGCAGTAACCACAGACACATCCATACATTTCAAAAACTAACAGTTTCATTTTTTTTTTAAATATAAAACATCTTGGGATATTAGCCAAGGAACTCTGAATCTAAATTGAGGCAGTTCCGAACACATACTCGCCCATAAGTGCTGACTTCATCCCATCGTAATGCGGATAAAGAATGGAATTTACTTTTATGCAGAGCACCGGTACAAGGCAGGTGCAGCCTTTATATCCCAATCCAAGGCTGCGGGTAGCACAGGAGGGTGCACTGGATGCTGTGGATAATAAACGACCACTGCAACAAATGGTATTACTATAATGGGTTGATACCTCTACTCTCTTGGCAGTTGCTTCACTTCTCCACAACCTTAGTATTTTACTGTGCAATTGTCTGACTTTGTTCACTTCTTCCAAGACTAAGGATGCTCCTGAGCCCAACTTCCAGGATGGAAGTAGTAGCAGTTGCAACAAGGCACAGAAAGAGCACCTGGAGTATCCTTGGAAGCAACAGGCAAGCAGCAGCTTCTCACCTACCTCCTAAACAACAACTTGGGACATAGTCGAGTGCTTCCAAATCGTGCTGAACCTCCTTCTTTTCCAGCACGGATAAGCAGAGCAAAAGGCATTTAACATGACACGTTATTCCATGCGCTCACCTTCCCTGATCCGCGTACCGACTGTTCTGCAATGCTTCTCAGATCAAGGCAGTACTGCGATGCTCGGTGCCATCACATCATGATCCTTTACCAGGAAGGAGTGCTGTAAAAAACTCCCAGAGCACTGCTCATTCCTGCCACATGAAGGACAGGACTGCACACGGTGACACAAAGTCTGTGCCTAGGTTCCCTGCAAAAGAGGAATTTCTCATACTCACTTGCTTCGGGAATGCACAATGGGAGACAGTTTTAGGTTGTAAAGCGAGTCCACCTTGGACCATTCTGTGACAGGGAACAAGGAGACGCCAGGGACGTTCTGCCCTGCACAGACAGGCCGGTCCACAACGCTCCGCTCGGGGCGAGCACAGGGAAGGAGCCCAGGCCCCCACGCTGCCGGCAGAGCTGCGGCCTCCACGCAGAGCTCCTTTCCTCGAGCAGCACCTTCCCGGCCACTGCTACAGGCAGCCCAAACAGGCACCCACCTCTTGCCTGCTCTAGCTAATCACACCCGAATTTCAGTGATGAACCGACTATTTTATAGATTTTTCCCGTATATATTTCACCCATTTTTCCTCACAGCCACAAGAGCAAAGCACTAGACATTTGCTATCACTGCCAAGCTATTAACATGCACCATGGCTTTAATTCTTTGTTTCTGCTTGCATGGCAGATCAGTTGTGAATCACTATTACAGCGGCCACTGGAGCTGTAAAAGCATCTTAGTGCTAACAAGAAAGCATGGGTGAAGATTGTTATCCCACTTCATCCCAAAGCAGATAATCCAAGGACAAAACCTGTGCTGGACACGTGCACATGTCAAACACGGGACAAGGCCCTTCTGCCTTGGCCTGTCTTCTGAGAACACTAACAAGGTTGACAACCAGTGTGCACTTTTTGTACTAGCATCAAACAGAACGCACCCTCGGTGCTTACAGGACTCTTCAAATACCCTAATACGAGCTCTCCTCTATTTGGAAACGTCCTAATCCTACAGCTTTTGCTTGTTAAAGCTACACTAGGCTCATTAGTCACGTTAGTCACACTAGGGGCCTAGCACAACGTCATTCTTGCCAGACTCTCAAACACCCAGTGCTCCCCAGAGGCTGCACAAACTCCGTCTGAAGGAGGCAGCCCGCTGGTTTGGGCTGAGCAAAAATAAGAATTAAAGAGAGACCAACAGAAGATGTATTGGACAGTTACTTTGTGCGTCTGAAAATACTGTCAAAAATGACATCATTATCAGGGCAGCTAAGAGCTCCATGGAATATACAGCGGTTTCTTCATGGCACGCCAGCAGCACTGCAGGGTAATTCATATCGGAGGCAGGGAATTGGAGGTGATGCCTGTTACACCACAGCAGCAGCTAACTCCTCAATCTAGAAGATAGAGGATCAAGAACATGCGACAATCTAGAGAAAGGAGAACGTTCAGCACAGAAATCAGAATCTTTTAATGTGAAATAAACAGTCACACGTGCTGGACAGCAAGTCACAGCACAGGGCTTGTTCAGTGTGGAAGATGGTGCATAGCACTTCACAAGACTTTACAAGGCACTTTGTATGGTGTATTTTAGCCAAAGAAGAGAGTTTCAAAAGGAAACACGTCCAGTAACTTTCCATTGACTTAGGGACATCAATTGGCACTGGATCAGCGTCTCGCTTTCCAAGAAGCATGGCAAGATTTATCAAGTCAAAAATACAGAGCCGAGCCAGTCCATTAGGCCACAGTTCATTATATACTATTTTAACCTGTAATTTAAACATGAGCACTCAAGAACTCTACCTAATAAAGATAGATTTAATCACATGTCAAAGTATTTGTTTTTAAGTTGGGATCTACAGTATTTCTTAAAGGTTTGAGACATCCTATATCCCAACAAGCCTCTCTCATTTCCTTTGGTTTTATGGTTTAAAAAAAAGTACCATCATTGCCTTTTAATGGCATATCAAATATGTTACACCAATATTTTACTTTGTATAGACATCAGGATTGACCAGTATTTTTTTAGTTATATTAATAGCAATAGTGCTAAAAATCTTAAGAACTAAGTAGCATTATATTTAATTATCCTTCTATAATTACACTGATTAAACACAGTATATGAGACTATAAAGATAGATAAAACATTATGGCTAAAAAACTTTTTTTAAATGACCATAAAATGATTATTAAGCCTGAGGTGACAAAATTAATATCACAAGCACAATTTTATGGGGTTTTCTTATGCCGATTCCCCTTCTTATAATACCATCCTGCAGTGGCAGCAGAATTTCCTCACAGCAGTGGTGAAAATGAGAATTAACTATAAAAAAATGCTGCAACCTGCAAGGGAGGTCACTTAAGCCTTCCATACCAAGGGAGGCTTTGTGCACTTGATGCTTCAGGCAAATGCCAATAAAACATATTAAAACACTTCTGAGCTCTGAGCAACCTGGCTTACACTTGGGTAATACTCATTCCTCCTGTTTCCTTATTCTTTTTTTCCCCTCTCTTGCTTCCTTACTCTTTTTCATGTTTTACAGAAACTCTGTACAGTTTCACAGCAGTGAAGCAAGAATCAGCACAAGGCAGAAGGGCCATCTATTTTCTGAGTAATCATCTAACAGGAACGACGCAGGAATTTTCATACTGGGTGACCAATAGTATTACAAAGATTAAAGAATCACCCAAAAAATTCTGACCAAGAACTAATACTACAGCAAAAAGCTAATATCGGAAATCTGCAGTGCCTTCAAAACCAGCTTAGACTGGATTTTAAGGTTATGACTGAGCATAAGAAAATTGAAATTTTTCTGACCTAGGAAGAGGATAAATCATTTCAAGAAATAATTTTCTTGATTCTTTGAATTATATGTTTAATTAATTTTATTACACATAATTACCAAAATGTATCATAATTATCTGACACATTTCAAGAAATATGGTCTTATTTTACTTAATTATATGATTAACTAGGGTACCTAATTAGCAAACTTCAACAAGATTATATTTCTGCTCTTCTCCCAAAATTTGGAAGCCATCCTAGAATACTCCAGCGCGTGGTGGCTTCACGCAGAGAGCCCGGTGGCCATCGCAGATACCCCCGCGCTGCAGGAAGGGGCCCACAGCCTCCTATTTATGTTGACTCTCCTCTCCTTCACTCTTGTGGAGTTGTTGCCAATATTTTGGCTGGATGGCTGGCTTTGACACAGACACTTACGGTTGTCTTTAACACCCATCACGCTCCCGGAAAGTTGGCTCCCGCCTTTGCAGGCCCAGCGCCTGCAGCACGTTGCAGGGATCCCTGCAAAGACACAAGGCTGGTGCAGCCCCTCACCTGGGTTTCAGGTGGACAGCGAACAGCCACATGCATCCCATCCTCCAGCCAACGTGCCTGGGCAGGAAGGGCCCATACGAGGCAGGAAGCAATTTAAGAAGCTCTGCGGAGTCTCAAATTCATCCTACAGGCCCAATGAGCCACCAGCTGGGTCACTAAATTGGCGTGTTGACATCTCTGCCTCGTACCCGCCGTTGCCAGGCTGCTCTGGGCTCTTCCCCGTTGCACAAAGCCAGCATGTGGCACTTGAGCCGTGCACTTACAGGGAACCCAGAACCACAGCAGGGAGAAAAATAACCATAACTTATCAATCCGTGGCAATCCAGACAAAAACTATGTAAGAATATACACTGTATCAGGGTGTATATGCTTCCTGTGTGGTATTTACCAACCCACAGTCAATCAAGACATATCAAGGAAAACTGACCCAAAAGAAAGTTTTTGTAGTTCCATAACTCACTGAAAATATTTCAAATAAAGGCAATTCAGAATATTAACAAGAGCCTTGTGATGTTTTAATACAAATTGATTGCCTATACTTCTGACATGTTGAAGAATTATTTTGTTAAATTGTTTCATCTCAACTGAAAATGCATAAACACATCCAGCCCTCAATCAACAAAACGTATTCCTGCATTTGGAAGAAAATAACAATCCATTTATTAGAAAGAGCCTTCCCACTTCTCACTAGTTTATGCCACTCTTCATACTTAGCACACAAACCCCAGATTGCAGTCGCATGCTAGACGCTCCTAATCCAGCTAGTGCTGCCAAGAATCGAACCAAAGGCTGCCTAATGCAGCAGGATCTATACGCCAGGCCCAAACACCACCAAAAAAAGAAAAAGAAAATCAATTTTTTATTTTAAACCCCACTTCCCCCTAAATAACAAGCTCTTGATTCCCTTACAGTCTGATTAGGTGCCTATTTTGCAGGCCACACAACGTGGTTGATTGGTGAGCCTGATAAGCAAAGGGACGTGAAGGGCCGTAAGGGTGGATCACTGACTGTCTGCAAAGCGAAAGAGAAACCAGGGGGCATCCACATCAGCACTTTGTGAAGTCAAACACACTCGTAAATATATATTAGCTTCACATACAAAATTGCACTGAGTCTATCAGAACTTTACCATGAGAACCTACCCTGATATTCATGACCTCTTAAAGTGAATAAACATCCCTATTCCCCTGATTATTTTAAGAAGGTTCTGAAAGACAAAGCTTAAAAAAAATGCATTATATTTCCAAATAAAGGAATTTAGCAATAGCTTAACATCCCAAAACACTAGTCAATTTAATATAAAAAGAAACACAAAAAACAAGTGGAAAACAATCACAGAATCACAGATCAATTAACTTCATCACAGAGTAGGCACAGAGAGAGAGAAAGAGATCAATCTTTCCCTCCAGGGCACACCACAGTTCTCCGACATCCTCTGGCACCCACAGCAGGCTCCTCTCCCTTACCTGGGGCTCCCACTCCAGCACCAGGCACCTTCTCCGTATTTCCCAGCTTCAGGAGGGCAGAATCAGCACAGCCACCATGAGGAGCCTTCTGGCAGCAACCTCACACTGCAGTAGGAATCAGTCTCTCCAAAGCTCATGAAGGGTCAAGTTGGTTTAAAACACTCTCTGCCTCACCACAGATGTGCTGTGGGTGCTGAACACAACTCACCTGTGCAGGCCCCTCCTGGCCAACGCAGCTTAACCGACCCTCAGTGGGTCGGTTAAGTGCAGCTTAACCAACCCTCCCATGTGCAGCCCACTGCAATGAGCAAAAAATACCACTCACCTCTGTCTCTTCTCTAGTTCTGTTCCACCTCTAATGTGGAAAATCACTCACTCACTACTGAGTTTTTCTTGTCTGTGTTAACTAATGGGGTCTAGTGGTCACACTGCTGTCTGAGAACATAGGGAATCTTAGGCATGTGTGGTAAGATGATGCTAAATATTGTTATATGTTAAGAATACTAGTCTAGGAAAAACAAGGGCCCAGTAATGAAGTGGAGTCTGCATTCATCATTCCGTACATTTTACCCCATATTGTCAACACTTACAATGGATCTAAAAACAACCTACAGAGTTTGACTGCAGAGTTTGCAGTCAGACTCATCATAACATTACTCCTATTTTAAAATCTGCCTGTTGTTTTCTGAATATCTAAATGATACTAAAAACTTTTGTTTTGTCTTCAGATTTTGTTTTCTTTGTGCCTAAGAGAAGTGAATTCCTGTTCTGTTTCCACAGTAATTCAGAAATTGGGAACACAGTTATGGTTGCTGTCCCTTTTTTTTCCCCCCACAACCTGGACACATGTAAATACATGTTTGGTCAGGTGGCTTTTTCTGAGAAACATGTCTCAAGATCTTATACATCTGAAAATAGGCATGCAAAAAATAAGAACAAATATGTGTGATTATACCACAGTTTGCATGTACGTATACATTCACACACTCAATATCACAATGTTCTGGAAAGCAAGAGGTGTGACTATATTTATCTTCTTGTCAAAGATTTCCCTCTTTCTCTAAAGACTCAAGGCCTTTCCTTTAGGAAAGGCCTCTTTCCTTTAGGAACACGCTCCACCTGGCAGGTTCGGCTGCTCAAGTGACACCTCGTAGCTTGGGAAACCCTGGCCAGGAGGTCACTGCCCCTGCACAGAGCCATTTCAACACCCACATTCCACCTACCTTCAAGGGGAGGCAGAATCAACCCGAGCATTTCAGCAAGCCCAGCACAGAGGACTTGCCAGACATATGCAGATCAATCCCAAAATATAGAGGAGATAAGGCAAGGGATGCACTCGGCCACACTTTGAGGCTGCCAAAGGTGGAAGGGCTCCTTAAATCTCATCTTGGAAGAACCATCTGCAGCTGGGGCAGATGAAGGGCAAAAAAAATACACACCTGCCTGAATGGTTCAAACCTCCCCGCTCTCGTATTAAACTTCATCAGGAACAAAAGCAGTAAGAAAAGATAAAACTCAACTTAAGACATGTTCCCCAATTAGCTTATTTTCTGGACCTCTTTTACTTAACCCTGTGTAATAGGTATGATACATAAATCTATTCTTATATCTTTTCATGTTTTGTAAGGGAAATGTCTGCGTACTTATTTCTCATGCAAGGCTCTGGATCTTATTTTTTGTTTGTTTGTTTAAAATCCTTCTTTCCTCTGTTGTTGAACAACCTCAGAGCATCTAATCCTAATGCTCTTTTCCTAAAAGACTCACTTGGCACAAATAGTTGGAAACACGTGGGGATAAGGGTTTTCTTACAGCTAGATCACAGTGGAATCATTCTTATGGAAGCATTCCTGACGCAGAGTGAACCTTTGTGATTAATGCTAACAAAATAGTCCATGGAGTACTAAGGTGCCATAATGATTTCAGTATTACTTGAAAGCAGTGCTAAACAGCCAATCACTCTCAAAACATACTGAGGCCTTGCAGTAGAACTTAGATTTAAAAGCACACATTTTATAACACTTAACATATTGCACTATGTGAATCACAGTAAATAAGCCCAACGGGAGTGTTTACTGAGGCACAAACAAAGAAGATCTGCAGAAGGAACCAGTTTATCATAAAGCATCCAAATATTTACTCTATTATTTAATGTGTGCCCAGCATGCCTATCCTTAATGCAGCATTAGCTGACATCAGGCATTTGCCATATGCGCAAATAATTAATTCAAATTATGTTTTCTTCCAGTGTGTTGTCTCAGAAATGAGCTGAATTAATGTAAAGATATATTAAACAGCAAATACCGAGATGATCTCTCTATGTAACAATCCAGACATGTTTGCCTTTGCGAGTGCATAGTTTTCCACGCTTCACCCTCGTTGTTATTCCAGTGCCAAGGGCTGACGGCATGAGAAATGCTCCTACAGTGCTCCTTATGTAACCACGGGGATGACTAACGCCGTGATTAAAAAACCTGACTAGGCTAAAGATTCCCTGGTAAGATTAAGCTCCAAATAGCAGAGCCTTCAGAACACATCCACCTTCTGTGAACCAAAAAAGCCCCCAATGGAACACATTTTCACAACATTCCCTAGATGGGATATAGCTCTTCCCACAGTGCGGAGCCGCGTCAGCTGTTCCTGCCAACCCAGGTGTTACACAACGGCCAGGCCGCCGGGTTATTTCCCTCGTAGCTGCCCCCGGCCGGCGTGGGCACTCCTGGAAGGAACCACAGGGCACCTTTCCACAGCGAGCTAGGGCACTGCGAGGCTTTGTTTGCATGGCATTTCACAAAGCAAACTGCTTCAGGAAAAGAAGTCATGCTAAGGCACAAAGCGCTACATAAAAAAGTTATAAGCACTTAACAAATCTTGAAGGGCATATGTTTCTATTATACCACTCCTATAAACCTTTATTCCTATGTCATCTTTGAGAGCAGCACATTGCTATGTTGCTTCTGTGCTCTTCTGTATAGGACTGGGCTAGTTTCTACCCTCTGTACCTACGGGCTTGTATTTTCTCATCAGCTTTTTCAGCTAGTAATAGGGAAAGAAACGGCAGCTGAAAAAGGAATTTCTGCATCCTAAAATTAGCTGGGAGACATCCCATATACAGCTGCTAAAAAGCAGCTTGCCTTGACCATGGTGGTAATCCAAGTAATACTGTAACCAATTTAGTCTGCTGGAAAAGATCTAAGGCAAGGAAACAGTAAGATAAGGCTGACAGCCTTGCTGTGTATTTGCAAAGCCCCAGCGCAGCGGAGCCTACCTGGCATAGCAGAATGTCCCCCATGGAGCGATTCCTCTACGAGTCAGACTTCTCAAGAGTTCAGTCCCCAAGGTGCTCATGCTGCTCCCCACAAAATCAGGATACCCCCAAACTGACACCAGCTACATCCTGTTTTAAATACTCAGCTTTGGGCAGACGAGTTGGCCCTCCTGAAGCAGGGGAGCCCATGAGACCCCAGCGGGAGGTCCTTGGCTCAGGGAAGGGACACATGTCTCCTTCAGGCCCTTTCTTCCTGGGGAGCAAGGACATCGCGGGTGCGGAGGCGGTGCTTTTCCAACAGGACGTTCCTACCTGCTTAGGTGCCTGAGGAGGCGCACGGCGCCTCTCCCGGCTCCCGGGAGCTGCCTGGGATGTAGGTGCACACGCAGGTGCCCTTCACAAACGTGGCCTTTGCAGTCTGCTGCACCAGAGACACGCTGGGCTTCCTGGCACCAAACTCGCTGTGGCTCCCTGAGCTTACCCGGGATGCAGCACCAAGGGGGCCGGGATTCATACACGGCGTAAATACCAGTTCCTGAGAATCACTACTCAGCACAGAAATTATGCGCCAAAAAGAACCTAAAAGCCTGCGGAAAAATATAGGTGGAAAAGGCTTTTCCTGGGACGTGTTTTAGTATCGTATCAAAGCAGCAAAAAAAAATCAAAAGGAAAATGTCATTTTATGACATTATGTACTAAGCAATCAACACAATATGATGTCCAAATGAAGAAACATACTAGGAAGTTACACAAAACCACTCTTCTTTGGCACTTGACCAGGTCCTCTGACACATTTTTTTGTACACAAGTCTACTAAAGAACAAATAATAACACAAAATTTCAAGGGTATAGCTAACAGATAGTTACCCATTTATCATTTGAAAGGACTGCCGAAACTAGCCCAAAACATTTATTTTAGACTCTTAGCTATACTCCCCTCTCACTACAATAAAGTACGAGTGACCTTTCACATGAGGCCAGAAGCGGCTGCAGGTATTTCCACACACGTACCAGTTCACAGAGCCGCAAGCTGCTCCTTCATTATTTTTCTTCATGGGTAGTTCAGAGCTTTAAACCACTACAAACTTATTTTTAGCGATCAAACACAAAAGCCAAGGTAGGAAGCCCCAAGCAGGGACTCCCTCTGCAAAGCAGAGCAGGCTGCAGGACTTCCCTGCGGGCCGGGCACGACGCAGCCAGCTCCATGGCCACTGCGAGTTCCAACGCGTGTATTTTAACACATTAAATATTTAATGGCATGTTAAATATATAAGAAGTTTAAAAATCATAAATTGATTATGTGAAAGACTAAAATGACCCAAACTTTCTTCACATTAAATAAAATGAAAAGCAGAAGGAATGCACAAGGCAGCTTTCCTTACCCAGAACATATGGGGTTATCCTAGACAACAGCAAGAAAAAAAGTCGTGCTGAAGCTATGAAAAATACCTTGACGGTGTCCTTTTAAAGTCATAACTTACTATGGGAAATCAGCATTCACAAGCATAAATTTGTTTCTGTATAATTCACTGCCCAGTGGCATTTGATTCCTTCCTAACGAATCTGTGTTTAAGAGGAAAGTCATAAAATTGGAACAATGGCAATGACTGAGTAATTCATGGCTCAGCACTATACTGGCAATTAATAAATCCACCTAGCAATATCCAGAAACCGGTCATCTGCCACTTTTTATTTATTTTATTTCATTTTCTGTATCTTGCACATCCTTTGAGGCAATCATATATAGTGATTACCTTTACCTTGCTTGCAAAAAAACCTAGTAATTCCTCATTGTGCTTCAGTGTTCCAGGCACCATCTTCACTGCATTATTAAATGCACATGAAATAAATACTTCTTGTAATGTAGAGGAGAGCACAGCACTTGACAAAGACTCCTCAACTGTTTCACAAATAGCTATCAAGTTTCTGGTGTTCAACGTGTTCATTTATATTTCATCATTTAGGGCAGAATTCAATTGGAACTAGTCTAGTCTTTCAAAAGCTCCAAAAAGGTCTTTGCAACCCAAAGGAAGAGGAGCCTTTGAATTGTATTGATGGTAGGAGACACAAAGTCAAAAGAGACTCTAGCAGCAACTTCTACTGGCATTTGAGGAGAAACCACCTGGGCTAGGAGGAGCCTTGAGAAAGGCAAAATACCCCAAAGTTGGGGGTTCCTGCAGAGATCCCAGACAGTGGGAGCTGTCTTCCTCTGCCAGCCAAGCCAAAGGTCCTGTTGACCAACATGGAGCCACCACTGGAACGGGGCAAACTGCCTGACTTTTAGGGTATTTTATTCAACAGTATCAAGAGCAGCACAACTATCAAATATTCCAGGGAGTATTTCCACAGATTCACCCCAGGCTTTTGCTTGCAACATGGTGCTACTGAGAATGTCAAAATCTGCCCCATTAGTATGCTGCTGTAATGCACAAAAGCAGTATAACCCTGATTAACTGACCGGTAACACAGACACCAAACTGCAGTTCAACACCAGCGCCCTTCCAATAACAAACCTGTGCACTTTCCCAGTCACTCTGCGCTGCCCGGCACTGCCCAACACAAATAACGTTGCCACTGGGATATAGCATGGTGGGAATGGGAGGACCATCACGTGCTTGGAGTCCCTTACCCCAACTCATACTGACTGTTTAAAATTTGAGAAATATGCAAAAGGTGTCAACATTTTACAAGACTTTCATTAAAAAAACTCAATAATTCTCCATGCTATATAATTTAATTCGATTCCTCATGATAACAATAAGATAAAAGAGGAAAAGATTTCATTTGGTCTGCCATGTATTCTGTCGTTATTTTTTTTCCTGCCAGCACTATCTCTTTCTTTTCCTTTCTTTCCCATGGCTTTTGTTCTCCTGGACCTTTGTCCCAAGGCCAGTAACACCTGCCATTCTTAAAAGGGACAATGAGAGAGAAGTTCTACTAAGGCCATCCACATATCAGAATTAGCTATTACTTTACTGTAAATGTTTCCTTTTCTGTTAAAAATGCTGTTAGGTATTTTATTTAAAAGAGTAATATTAGCTCC